AAATTGGTTTAGGTGTAACCAACCATGTTGATCAACAATATACTGTTGCGAAATACCTAAACACATATACTGGGTAGTTGCAGCTAGTGGGTGCTGAGCATTGTTGGCCGCTTTAACCATTTAAAATGGTGTGTAACAAGTCCTATTTGCGTCAAATACAGGTGAAGAAGAGAACGCGTATACGGAACCAAATGGATGTTAGTGATACCGTTTATGCATGTAGATGTGGTATATACTCGCAAACAGGACACGACCGTCGAAAATGTCCTTTGGGTGGCAATATTAATCAAGCTCGAGGTGGGTGTTCTTCTATTATGCCTAACTATTAATGAGTTTGTGTTGTAATATTTAGTTGTTTTGTTTATGTTACAAGATTTATAAAATAAAATTATGTTTGTTAATAGGGTAACTCATCTAGCAGTTGAAGATGATGCAAAAATCTCAGACTGACTAGGTTCCCTGAAGTGTTCGGGAACAAGACCCCTCCAAATAGAAGAAGCAACAACAACCTCGTATACTGGGTGATATGTACCTCCTCTGTATCGTCGGTGATATCGGGGTGTAGTAGCTCTAGGTGCTGTCTAATAGGGGTCAAAGTCAACCGACTAGCACCCGACGATGCAGTCCGTCCTGTGGCCTGAAACCCGTGAGCTGCTGCAGCATGTCCAAATAAGCATCATGCGACATAAATCTCATAGCAATAGGTAATGAAACGGGCATGCCATCAACGAGCAGGCCATATAAAACCTCAACGTCCTGCAACATGATGGTAGCCTCGCCAATGGGCAGGTGAAAAGTGTGCGTCTCCGGTCGCCACAGCTCAATCAACGCCGTAATCAAAGCCCAGTCAACCTATATCCGCCCAATCTTAATAATCCTATGGAATCCCATGGCCTGGAGGCAAAGGACTACATGCTCGTTCAGATGATGATGATGATGAACGAGCACTGATGGCCATTGGAAAATATGATGAAGAAACTGACGTAAGTGTCCTTCATCTCAAAGACAAGAATTATTTTTTATCTAAAGAAAGGCAAGTTGCTACTAGAGCAACTTGATGAATCTGAGGATGTAAATAATGAAAAGGAATAGATGTCAAAAGAATGTGTGATTTTGAAAGGTAAGTGCACAAACTTGGAACTTAGGGCTAGTGAAACTGAAAGTGAAAATACTGCATTGAAGAACCAGGTTCATGAAATTGACGCAACTATCCTATAGCTTAGATATAAAAATCTAAAATTGAAATTAGGAACAGGCAAAAAACAGCTAATCACACACAACTCACTTTAGAAGAAAATGTAGGAAAAATGAAAGATGAGTTGTACATGAGAGATGAATAGGTAAGAATCCTAAGGGAGGATCTAAGCAAGGTCAAGCATGAGCTAGACAGAACTTGTAAATAGAACAGGTCATCTAATGCACATTCATGGCTATAAGAACACCATAGCAGCAATAGAAGAGGACTTAGCTTTGGGAACCTGACACCTAAGTGGGATCCCAAAAGCAAGTACCTCACACTTCCTAAAAAAATATTTGCACACATTGTAGTAACACTGGTCACAATAAAAGTGAATGCATTGCAAAAGAAAAGGCAAGTCAAAAGAACAAAGATTTTGTTCAAGGGAAAAATAGGCTGCCAAGTTGGGCTAAAAAGAATTTGATTCACCCTTTTGCCTATAGAAAGTGACCCAATCTAGTTTGAGTTCCTAAAACTAACCCTTGATTTCTTTTTGCAGGTCCAAGTGAAGGTGAGTAGCCAAATATGGTATATTTATAGTGGCTGCTCAAAGCATATGACAGGAAGAAAGAACCAGTTCCTTTCACTTGAAGACCTTAAAAGAGGTAATGTCTCCTTTGGAAATGGGAAGAAAGGCGAGATCATTTGGGTTGGAAAAGATAGGTATGACTGATTCTCATTTTATTGAGAATGTCTACTTGATAGATGGACTAAAGTACAATATGAAGTGTATCACAATTGTGTGATAGAGGTAACAAGGTAGCATTCACCTCTACAAAATGCTTTGTGATTAATCTTACCACTGACAAGATATTTTTGCAGGGAAAAAGAACGAACAACATATATGTTGTAGATCTATCCACACTTTTAGATAATAAACTCACTTGCTTAAGTGTGTTGGATACCTCCTTTGTCACAAAAGACTTGGGCATGACAGTCTAAGCCAACTCAACAAACTAGTCTCTAAGGACTTGGTGATAGGAATGCCTAAAATTAAGTTCAAGGAAGATAAAGTTTGCGAGGCCTGTGCAAGGGAGAAGCAGGTAAGATCCTCTTTCAAAAGCAAGAAAATGATAAGCACTACCAGGACAATGGAACTGATCCATATGGATCTTTGTGGACCAATGAGAACATTGAGCAGAGGTGATAAGAGATATGTTATAGCGCTTGTTGATGATTACTCTATGTTAGTTTGTATGAGTCCATCAAACAGTAGAATACCTGGTCCTCTATAAGATTATACTAAGAATCCTAATAAAACAATATGTAAATAAGGCAAAGGATTTTTACGTGGAAAAATCCCACACAAGGGGATAAAAAAATCACGACCTACACCTGTAGGCTTTTAACTTCACTAACTTGTAAAGAACCTATTACAAGTCACTTTGCAATGACTCCTATTGCAAAGGATTTACTCAACTAACTTGTGGTACTCTTACCACAAGCCACTTTGTGACTTCCTAGTTACAAAGGCTTTTTCTAACTTGTGATGCTTTCACCACAAGCCACTTTGTAATTATACAATTACAAAGACTTTTGCTTATGACTAAATCTAGTCACAACATAAACTCAAGGAGTTTACAGATTTACAAGAGGATTCCTAATCAAACGCTTCTAGCTAAGCAGTTTAGGAGATATAACAAGTACAATAACAAAGTTACAACTCAACTAGGACAACAACAAGCAATCTTTTAGGAACTGGTCCGTAGTTGCGTTCAACTTTGTTCTTCAAGCTTGAGGGGATTGATTTCTCTGTTTTGGCAAGAAGCTTGAATGAGAAAATGAATCCTACAAGTGTTGTTTTGTATAAAACTCATTCTTTTTACATCTTGATCACATCACTTGAAATGATGTGAGCACTTTATTTGGTTAGAGAATGAGTGGGCGCTGGAGACAGTGCAGTGCGGCAGAAACAGTCCCGTCAGTCACTTCAGTTCTAGCTGTGTCCAATTGACTTTGTACTGCTATGAGGAAACTACTAGAGTATCAGGCCCTTGTGTGGGTTCCTAGCTCCTGAAGCTGTAGCAGTTCACCTTTAGCTGGAATCCATTAAAGGTTGCAGTATAGTCCAAGTAGGTCAGGTTCCTTATCTGGTTCTTAACAGTAAGTTTGTTAGATCATCAAAACATAAGGCAAAAATATTTAAAACCTATCAATTTTACCCTTTTTAATGATGCCAAACTTAAAAATTATCAAGTGGTTTTAGAGCAGTAAAGAACCAGTTTAAGTAACAGAGGAAACACAGGGTCACAGGGTTCCCCCTAAGACTATGCCTTATCATAACAATGAGTTCCCCTGAGTTGAGTCCCATGTGTTCCCCCTAAGTTTATTTTCCCCCTTTTGGCATCATTAAAAAAATAGAATAACAGCACAAAGAAGTCCAGCTAAGCTAACTCATGCCATATATGTGCACACAATCATGGTAGAGAATAGAACACATAAAGAGAGTACTGGCATAATAAAACGAGGATTGATATTAATAAAGCTTTAAATATGCCTCTACTTAGAAAAAGTGAGAGGCAACATTGGACTTGTTAATGGGAGCAGTACTGTTTCATCCCAACCACACACAAAAAAAAAACAAAAAACAACCGCCAAAACATAAAAAAAACATAACAAACATATCCAGAAACTGGTCACTGAAGGGGTACTTAAGGGGTACTAGGAGTAAAAGGCTTGGTAGCTGCAGCAAGTGTTTGGAGAACAAGGTCTATTCAGGCGTTTGCAGACTTTTGCTTATTGAGCAGTTCTACTTTTAGGTTCTTTACTTGCGCCCTGAGATCAACATTCTCCTGAGTCAAACGAGCCACTTCATCATTCGACATCGGAACCCCTTGGGCTTGCTGACCTTCCAGGATAGCATTCTCGGCATTTAACCGACGAATTTCCTCAGTTGCAATGTTCTGAGCATTTATAAGCTATGAAATGGTTGATGTACTTCCTACCCCCCCATACTTTTCCACACACTCGCACTCTTCCAAAGTCGTCTGTGAGAAGGTCTGCTTCCTAGTCCCCACTTTGCCCGTCCGCAGTGGGACTTTAAAGAATTTGAACAATGGAGTCAACAGGAACCCATAGGGAAGGCCATGATTACCATCTTTGAAAGTGGCAACCTTTTGCATTTGTTCAATCATAATAGCTGGAAGACTCACAGGAGTAAAACTGTCCAGTTGCTCCATCAAGAATAGGTCAGACTTAGAAGTCACTGACCTCCTTTCAGCTCGAGTCAATAGAACTTTGTTAACCAATTCAAACAGCAGCTGGTAAATAGGAAGTACGGCTTTCTTATGGATCTGGTCCCCTTTCTGGTTAGCATTGTCTTTTACCACTGCATTTCTGAAGTTATACTGGATATGGTCCCCTTTCTGGTTAGCATTGTCTTTTACCACTGCATTTCTGAAGTTATACTGGATATGGTCCCCTTTCTGGTTAGCATTGTCTTTTACCACTGCATTTCTGAAGTTATACTGACACATATATCTTACACTGGACACACCGGCTGTAGGAACTTTTAAAATCTCTCCAAGAAACTTTACATCAAAGACAATGTCCACCCCATTTACCAAGGCACAAATATTGTCAGTATCAACTGGAAAGAGGGTAGAAAAGAAACTTTGTACCTCCTCCTCATGTACCTTAGGTGCATCAATTTGAAATAGATGCACCCAACGTTAAAACTCGACCATTTCTAGAACTTGGCGCATTCCAGCCATCTCAGAGATTGCTGGGTCAAACGTACGACCCAACAGAACTTTTTGATGCCTCAGGCGCACAGAGCCAAGGTGACTTTACTTCTCATTTTCTTCACAGAAACAGGTTCTTCAAAAGGTTCAGACTTGCGTTTCCCGGACTTCTCTCCACTGACTTTGCCTTTTCCCTTTGATTTGATTAGGACATCCTCATCAGTCATGGAAAACTCACTCACCCCCTCTTTTATCTTAGACTTAGATGTTGGACCTTTCTCTAGTGAAGTAGGCTTAATCTTTTTCGAAGACCATCTAACAAGTGAACCAGGTTCATCTAGGGTTTCCTCTTCCACATCGACTATAGGGATCGCCTCATCACTTACAGGTACAGCATCTTTCACCAACTTTCTTTTTTTCTTCTGACTACTCTTCTTGCTCTTTTGAAGAGTAGAATAGTAGGTCACTTTAACTTGAAGCCTGGTAGTAGGTAGTTTGATTTCAAACTCAGGGGTGGACACAACCCTCCGCTTACTTATGAATGCATTAAGACCCATATTATCTAGGTCTTCTTCATCACTGGATCTCATTTCAGGTGCTTGAATTTCCAGGGGCACAACATTGAATGCAGGAACAATCCTGTCCTAGGAATGAGAGCCCTGACCTGGGTCCTCCGGAGAGGGATCAGGTTCCTCATGTGATTCCCTAGTAGTATCTGCTACTGCATCCCCGCCAACAGCTACAATGGCCCCTTCTTCCTCCACACTTTATGTCTCATTTTTCTGAGATATAATCTCATGCAGTACACCATCAGCGGATACCACAAACACGGTTAAAACATTTTTCTCTTCCTCAACCGGTGCTTCCACCACCATGGAATCGGTAGCAACAATGGCAGAACTCTTTGTGACCTCAGGATTTTGACCTTGTTCTCCACTTAGTGGTTGACTGGTGGGAACATCAGACGATGGGGAGAACGGAGCAGTAGTTTCAAGGGTTTCTGAATTGGGAAGAGATTGGGAAATTGGGGGAGGTACGATTGTAGCAGTAGGAGTAATAGAGGGTGAGGAAGGCTCAGTAAAAGTGGAAGGTTCTATAGATTGATCAGTGATAGTTACAACTGAGGCAGGGAGATTGGAAGTTGTCTTAGCCATTGAAAAAAGTTGTATGATGATCCTTTTTGGGTGATTCTAGTGTAAGCCTTAAGGTTAAGAAGAGCAGAAAAGAGGGTTTTTAAAAGGAGAGGATAATTATGAAGATAGAGGAATAGGCACTGGTTCTGAAACGGCGGTTGAGCATGGAGAATTGCAAAATTTTAGAAGGGAGATAGAATGATTTAAAATGAAGAAACGTCACAGCAGGATCTGAAAAGTTGATGACACGACAGTTGTGTTTTGTACCCTTTTTTAAGACGTGTATTAAAGGATGCACAGAACTACTAACCTTTGGTATAAGAACTAGGTTCTCGACCCTTTTTCTTAAAGAATCAATCCTCTTTTATCATTCATGCACTGCATCTACTGCTTCTATACTCATCATGTGTGCTTACTTGCAATGGTATTGAAGTGAATTAGATATGGCCAAAAAACACTTTGAGCCAGTTATTTCTAGAAGGTAAAAGCCAGCTAAAGAGGAATCAGGTTCTCAATTGGGCTTTAAAAGCCCCAGCTTCATTCTGTTTCTTTTAAACCATTCCCTACTTAGTGCCTTGGTGAAAATGTCTACAATTTGATCTTCTGCATTGTAGAACTTCATACATATCAGCCCTTTCTCCACATTGTCTCTTAGAAAATGATGCCTCACATCGATATGTTTTGTCCTTTTGTGTTGAAATGGATTCTTGGCCATATTAAGTGCACTAGTATTGTCACATAGAAGGGGCACACTCTCAGTGAGTACCCTAAAGTCCTCCAGTTGCTGCTTTATCCATAAGAGCTGAGCACATCAGGATGCTGTAGCTACATATTCAGCTTCAGCTGTTGAAAGAGTCACTGAATTTTGCTTTCTTGTTCCCCAAGAGATAAGACATGAACCTAAGAAGTGAGCCATTCCAGAAGTGCTTTTCTTGTCCACAAGATAACCTGCATAATCTGCATCAGCATACCCAATCAGATTAAAACTGTTACCTGATGGATAATACAGCACTAGGTCATGTGTTCCTTTGAGATATCTTAGTATTCTTTTGACAGCCTTCAAGTGAGATTCCTTGGGATTTGATTGAAATCTTGCAGATAGCCTCACACTAAAAACAATATCAAGTCTGCTGGCAGTGAGATAGAGGAGAGATCAAATGATGCCTCTATACATGGTTTGATTCACAGGAGATCCAGTTTCATCCATGTCCAGTCGAGTGGTAGTAGCAATGGGAGTGTCTATCACCTTTGATGCTTCCATGTCAAACCTCTTCAAGAGTTACCTAATGTATTTTTGCTAACAAATGGATATACCCTTTGGGGATTGTTTTACTTGAAGACCCAAGAAGAAATTCAGTTCCCCCATCATACTTATTTCAAATTCACTTCCCATGAGTTTTGCAAATTCTTCTCACAGAGAATCAGTTGTTGCTCCAAAAATTAAATCATCAACATAAACCTGAACAATGAGAAGGTTCCTTCCTCGTTTCTTTAAGAAAAGAGTGTTGTCAATTTTCCCTCTTTTAAAATCATTTTCCAGGAGGAACTTTGACAATCTTTCATACCAAGCTCGAGAAGCCTGCTTTAACCCATACAGAGTTTTGTCCAGTTTAAACACATATTCAAGTTGCTCATGACATTCAAACCCTGGGGGTTGCTTCACACAGACTTCTTCCTTAAGGAGTCCATTCAAAAATGCACTCTTGACATCCATTTGAAATAAAGTGAATTCCATATGAGATGCAAAAGCGATTAGAATTCTAATAGCTTCCATGCGAGCCACTAGAGCAAACGTTTCATCATAGTCAATCCCTTCCTCCTGATTGTAGCCTTGCACCACTAGCCTGGCCTTATTCCTTGTGGTAATTCCATGTTCATCGAGCTTTTTTCTAAATACCCACCTGGTTCCTATAATGGTTCGATTTGGGGGTCTAGGTACCAGGTGCCACACATTATTTCTCTCAAACTGATGCAACTCGGCTTGCATAGCCGTAATCCAATCTGCATCTTTCAAGGCTTCCTTGATATTTTTGGGTTCTATCTGGGAGAGAAAGGCTGAAAAGGCAAGTGAATTTCTGGCTCTTGACCTGATTTGTACTTCGGAATCTAGAGGGGTGATAATGTTGTCTATTGGATGAGAGCTTTGGTGTCTCCAGTTAGACAGCTGAGGTTCATTTTGAGAGGAGGAAGATATGTTTGGTTGATTTTCCTCTATCATTCTCTCAGGTGCTAGTGGAGTTCCCTGAACTGCATCCACCACTCTTTCTTCAACTTTAATGGTTATAATTGAAGTGCTTGGTTTTGTTGAAGATGAAGCAGCGTTGTCTTCATTTGGCTCCTTTACTTGACTTATAATATCTGCCTTTCCATTTGTCATGTTAATGACTTCACCAGGAACTAGTGAGGGTTCTCCATCTTGATCTTCCTCAGCACTCTTCTCAAATGATAGATAAGATTCATCAAAAATAACATGAACACTTTCCTCAACACATTGAGTCCGCTTATTATATATCTTGTAAGCCTTGCTTTGAGAGGAGTAGCCCAGAAATATTCCTTCATCACTCTTTGCATCAAATTTAACAAGCTGATCTTTTCTATTGTTGAGAACATAGCATTTGCACCCAAATGTTCTTAGGTGAGTCAGCTTGGGTTTCCTCCTATTCAATAGTTCATACGGGGTTTTGTTCAGAAGTGATCTGATCATGCACCTGTTCACCAAACAGCAGGCAGTATTGACAGTTTCAGCCTAGAAGTTCTTTGCAATTCCACTGTCGATCAACATTGTTTTTGCCATTTCCTCTAGAGTTCTGTTCTTCCTTTCTACTACTCCATTTTGCTTGGGAGTTCTGGTAGCTGAGCAGTTGTGTGAGATGCCATTTTCATTTCATAATTCATCAAATTTGACATTGTCAAATTCTATCCCATGATCTGATCTAATGCATGCGACTCTAGATTCCATCTCCACTTGGATTTTCTTCACAAAGGCCACAAATACCTCAATAGTTTCATATTTGGTTCTGAGAAACATAGTCCATATGAATCTAGAGTAGTCATCTACTATCACGAAAATGTATTTTTTTCCTTCTCCGCTTTGCACTCTCATAGGTCCACACAGATCCATATGCAGAAGTTCTAGCGGCTTTGAGGTGCTCACATCTCTTTTAGGCTTAAAAGAGGACTTCACATGTTTTTCTCTAGCACAGGCATCACAGACTTGTTGCATCTTGAACTGTGACATAGGCAGACCATGGACCGGGTCCTTCTAAATTAGTTTGTTCAGAAGAGAAAATCTTGTATGGCCCAGTCTTCTGTGCCATAGTTCAGCTTCATCATCAATAACTTTCAGACAACTCGGATCACCATTCTTTAAGGACTCGAAATCAACGACAGATATGTTCTTGTATCTTTTGGCCACAAGTACTATTTCACCGATCACAAGATCAGTGACTGTACATATTTTGGACAAGAATTCCACCTTATTTCCTTTATCACATATTTGAGAAACACTCAAGAGACTGTACTTAAGTCCATTTACATAGTACACATTTTCAATAGAATGAGTAAGTGACTTCCCGACTTTTCCAACTCCAAGAATATACCCCTTTTTGCCATTGCCAAAGGATACACTCCCTCATTGCAGGGCTTTTAGTGAAACAAAGTTTGTGGTGTTCCCAGTCATGTGTTTTGAACACCCACTATCCATGAACCATTGTTGACCGCTTCCTTTCAATGTTTCCTGCACAAGAGATTAGGAGTTAGTTTTAGGAACCCAAACAAGTTTGGGTCCCTTGTAGTAAGCAAGAGGATGAATAAGAGTTCTCTTAGTCCATGCAGGTAATGTGCGTTTTTTGTGAGTGGAACCTGGTCCCTCTTTTGTAGTCACCATTTCAGCAAACACTTTATTTTTCTGAACTGATTGATTCTTGGCCTGGACATCTTCCTTGAAGCGCCCAGTGTTCCCACATCGGGTACAAGGTCAGTTATTGGAGACAGTGACGTACTTATTGTGAGGGTTGTGAGGAGTTTTCTCCCTTTGGAACCCTACTGCCTATCTGTTTTCACAATCGTTAGTGTGCAAGGCAGTGGTAGCTTCTAAGGACCAGGTCCACTTTAGGGACTTTTCAAGATCATTCTTTACTCTTTCCAGATTAGTTTGGAGAAGCTCATTTTTCTCAATTTCAGCACGCATCCTAAACCTCATAGCTTTCACCTCATTTTCAAGCCTAATGTGTTCCTCACTTGCTATCTCCTTTCCCTTTCCAGATTGTTTAGGTTTTGACTTAGTCCATGGTTTCCCTTAGGTCTGCAATTTCAACCAACAGATCACTCTTTTCTTTTCTGAGGGTTTAAATGATTTTCTTATGGTCAGTAACTACAACCATTAAGTCGTCTCTAGTTTGTTCAGATTCTCCAAATTCTAGGTCAAAGAATCCCTATCCTCCACAAGACTATGAAATGCAGTGGTTAATACATCAGCTAAAGACATAAGTTTTTTTGGAGAATAGGATTTCAGATTTCTCTGAGCTTCCCTGAAGTTTACCTCTTTGTTTCAATTTTCTTCATAATTATCTGATTGAGCCATCAAAGCAAAAGCTGAGTCATATCCAGTCTTTTCACTTTCAACTGACAACATGGAACTATCACCAGTATCAGATTCATCTTCAGACTCACTAGATGAATCCCTCCATGTTGCAAGAGCATGTCTCATCATATTGTCAGTAGATGTTTTTCTCTTGAAGTCCTTGATAGGAACCAGGTTCGTCTTAGTTGTTTTCTCATGATAGTTCTTGGAGAATTCTTGCTTCAGGAGAGGACAGTCTTTCATGAAGTGTCCAAGCTTTTCACACCTGTAACAAAGATCATAGTTTCTTGGTCTGATAGACATGTCCCTTTTTAGCATTTCTCCATTTCTTCTGACCATCTTCTGAAATCTTTTGGTAGGTAAGCCATGTCACTGTCTTCCTCACTTGAATCATTGTAATCAACTTTAAGTACCAGGTTCTTTCCCCTTTTTGGTTTTC